CAGCACTTTTGAAATTCCCTACTGCCAGGCTCTGCCCCGGCAATGGCATGTGACCCTTGCTGCACCACAACAGGATCCCAGCTTCAGTAAATCCAGCCCTCAAGTTCAGCCTGCCCAGCTGTTTTCCAGCCTGGGTCACATTTGAGAAGTGCTGTGCCCTGGGCTCACTTCGCACCAGTGGAGCTGAGGGACCGCTGCTCTAGGGGTTGGGGGAGGCGTCCGACCTGGTTTCAAACCTTGGTGCTGTTCCCAGCGAACTAATCTGTGCCAGCTCGGAACGGGCAGGGTGGGGTGACAAGCCCATCCTGGAAGGCAGTAAAGACAGGGCGGGGCCCGACCCACTCACTCGCTTGGGAGAAAGCCTTTTGCCCAGAAGAGGGGTGTCCTTTTCCTGCAGGCGCCCCGTGCAGGGGGACAGTTACCTTGCGAACGTGTATTCACTTTCAGCCCTGAAGTAGTACACGTGGGACTTGAAGTGCAGCTTGAACACGTGGTCTTTGTGGATGTCTTCGGCCTCCGAGGGGACAGTCAGTGAGTATCCCAGCAGAGGCAGGCTGGCAAGGGGGTGATTGTCCTGGAAGGGGGCACAGGAGGGGGTGCTGAGTCTGGCTGCAGCCTCCCGCCTGTAGCCACTCTGGGAGCCAAGGCCACCTGCTGTGGGCCTGAATGCGGTAGTGGGCCTGCTGCGCTTCAGCCATCGGTGAATCCAGCCCCCCTCCCTGTCCCGCCAGTGGACACGCGGCCCCGCTCCCGGTGGAAGCAGTTAGCCTTCACTTAGAGTGGAGGGTCCTGATGGCCGTGGCCCTCCACACCTGGTGGGGCGGCTCAGGGGTGAAGGTCTTCCTCCTTCCAGAGGTGTGTGAGGGCCCGTGAGGCTCTCCCCCACCCTGGGCACGCACCTGGTGTGACTTGTAGAAAAACAGGCAGAAGTTTGTGAACACCACCCACAGCTTCTGCCACCCATTGCTGTTCTTGAATTTCCTCAGCAGGTTCCCCGACAGCTGATTCTGCAAGACAAGCAGGCAGGTGAGGAGCACAGGTGGAGAACCTGGTCACAGTCCTGGGGGCCCTTGGTGGCGTTGCTGGGCAGCCCCCCTGCACTAGGCCCCCAGGCTGGGGCTGGGGGGTCTGAGAACAGGCTTCCTGAGAGTGACTGAGATGCCTTTCTTCCTGGTAAGGGGAGAAGCCCCTGGGAAGTGGACTGAGGGGAGCTGCTTTGACTTTTGTCACCGGTTATGGGTTCAGTTACAGTCCCTGAAAGATACCTTGAAGTCCCAACCCCCTAGTGCCTCAGAATGTGACTGTGTTTGGAGACGGGGGTCATCACACGTGTAACCGGTGAGGAGGCCATGCTGGAGGGAGAGAGGCCAGTCATCCCCTATGACTAATGCACTTGTATGAAAAAAGAGGGAGAGAGATGTTGGAGGCACACGGCAGTGACGTAGCAGCCTTCCGCGCAGGTTTCAGAGGGAGCTTGGCCCTCTTGCCACCTTGATTTCCAGACTTCTGCCCTCCTGAACAGCGAGGCAGATGGTTCAGGTCTCCAAGTCCATTACCCTCAACTGCATGCCCTCCTGAGGGTGAGCCCTGTGCCAGCAGCTCCCAACTGCCACCTAGTGGCCGCAGCTAGATGTCAGCGCGGTACCTCCAGACTGCCCTCTCCCCTGCACCAAAGGGACTTCATCCAGGAGAGAATGCTGGTAGAAGCGGGCATTCTCGTTTAACTCCAGAGCTCCTGTGGGCTCCTGAGCAAGGATGCCCAGAGTGGAGCATGCATATCCTTGCGGATGCTGTAAATCCCCCTCAGTGTCACCTCTCAGAGGACATGAAGGCTCCTTCATGTATGTCCTCGGCATGCCAGGAGCTCATTACCAGGAAGCCCCAAAGAAGAGAGAAATGGACGGTGGTGGTCACACAGCCTTGTGAGTGTAATTATTGCCACTAAATCGTTCACTTCAAAATGGTTAAACAGGCAAATCCGCCACAATTATCTACTCTGCCCCTTTGGGACCTCTCCAGTAACTCGTATTTACTCCAATAAGCTTTCTCAAGGAGTCCCCCTCTGCCAAGAGTTGAGTCTAAAGGGCTCCAGCCTCGAGCTGCTCACAGTCTGATGGGGAGACTGTGGGCTGGTGGTGCTGCAGATGGAGCGCCCTGTTTTCTTGTGCCTTTCCAAGAGGCAGCTGGTGAGGTGAGTTCCAGCAGGGGACGGTGGCAGCCAGAGTTGGGGTTGATGTTTTTGCACCAGCACGCAAGACTGCGAGTTTAGTATGGTGGGAAGGACAGTAGCACATCCTCCTTTCCTTTTACTTCATAGTTTTACACCGAATCAAATACATCCTTCCAGATAGTCCAAAAAACCTTTCTCTCAGACGCAGTTACCTCTGGAACAAGAGACAGTCTGTCCCACAGGGTGGTTGACACAATTTACCAATGAGTCAGGTTCCAGGCCAGTGTTCTTCCCAAGGCACTTTCATGAGGAGGCTCTTAACGCCAGCCTCCTTAAATGCTGGAACATGCCAGGGTATGTATGGACTCTGATTAAGTCCTTCTGGCCTTGCCATCTTTAGAGACCATTTGGTTTTTAATAATTGCATCCACTAGTCCTTCCGTGCTCCCCATTGTCCTAGCGGCCTCCAAAGTTGCCACCCTCACTGAACCCCTGCTCCCCTGGGCTTCATTCCCATATACACTTCAGTCTCCTACTCAGGTGCCATGGCCCCTGAGCTCTGCCCCCCCCACCCCCCCGTCCAGCAGTACTCTCAAGAACCTGAACCTTTTGTCTATGCGGATGACCCTTGGGTCAGTCCCCAGCCTGGACTAGTTCTCCATCTGCTGCCTGGATAGGGGAGGTCAGCAGCCCCCTCACCTGGACTCCCTTCTTGGAGGACAGCCTTTGCTCTTCCCTCTGCTTGGTTCCCAGCTGCTCCATCCCTACTGTGGACGGACTTATGTCCCACTCCAAAAGCTATATTCAAGTCCAGAGTACCTGTGAATGCCTTATTTAGAAATAGGGTCTCTGCAGCTGTCATCAAGTTAAGATGAGGTCATACTTGAGCAGGGTAGGTCCCAATCCCAATGACGGGCATCCTCATAGGAAGAGGACTTTCTAACAGATGCACAGGGAGGTGGAGGCAGAGACTGGAGTGATATGTCCGCAAGGCTGAGCATGGCAGAAGCCAGGAGAGGCCTGCGACAGATCTTTGTTCATGGCCTCCAGCGGGAGCCAACCCTGCCTCCACCTTGACCTTGGACTTAAGGCCTCCAGCCCTGTGAATTTCTATTGTTAAGCAGTTGGTGAGACTGTGAGAGCAGCCACAGGAACCAAGAGCCCGCACGTCAGCTGGCCCCACTGACAGTCTCAGCGTCAGCACCCCCACATCGGCTGTGCCCACAGCATGCCCTCCCTGGCTGGCCCAGGAACTTTCTGTGGAGGCCAGCTCAGCTCCACCCTCCCCCCAATCATCCCCATTACTCATATATCTACCCACACAAGTCCCAACAGAGGCAGAATCGGAGAGAGAAAGCGGTTATGTCATTGCCATCTTCAGACCACACATTCCCAGGGGGTTGCTCTCCTGTGCGGCAGCTCCCAGCAAACTTCCTCAAAGGGCCACATACAGCAAATATTTTAGGTTTCTTTGGGCTAAGAAATAAAATCAGATGCTTGTAGCAACCATTCAAAAATGTAAAACCTGGTTCTTAGTGGACGGGCCGTAACCAGTCGGGGCAGGCAGGATTTGACCTGTGGGCCACGGTGTGCAGGCCGGTCCCTGACACGCAGCTGACCCACCCCGCCCAGAGGCTCCCCTGTGCCAGCCTGTCCGCCCAAAGAGCCGGGCTTGAGAAGCTGTGTCTGGGCCGCATTCTTGAAGGGCCTGCATGATGAGGGTTTTAAGCATGAGGGTTTTAAGCCCACCAAATTCCCATACCTTGCCCTGCCCCCTGGCTTCCCTGGGCTCGACTGGACAGAACAGCTCTGATAAGGTTTTTTGCGGTGGGGGGGGGATCAGATGGTCACTGCTTCTTCCCTGCTCCCTCTTGCTGGAAAGATCCCCTGACACCTTGAGGCTTATGGCCTTCCTGGAAGGAATCTCCAGTTGGCCAACTTTGCCAACGGATGCAGTGGAAGTGTGAAGGGAGGGAGAATCTGAGGACAGCGCGCCCCTCGGGGAGAGAAAGTCCATCCCTGCCGGGGATGGAAGAGAGGGAAGGCTCACGGCAGGCGGAGCCCCACCACCATGGCAGGGACACGGCCCCTGAGGATAAAGATGTTTTCAGGAAGAAGCAGGGGTTTCAGATCATTATCTGCACAAAAGCAGTTCCGTGGAACGATGAAGGTCACTTCCAGAGAAGCAGCTCAGAGAATCCCGATCAACTATCCATCACAAAACTGGCCCGTTTCCAAGACTGCTGGTCCAAAAAGCAAACAAACTACTGTTCTTGGCTCCCAGTCTCTTACATGACATTTCTGGGGCCAGGCATGTTCAGGAATTCGAACATTTCAGAAAGATAATCCTGTGCCTGCACTCTGTCACCCCAGGTACAGTGGTCTGAGGCCACAGCTCAGAATCAAACACAGTGATTCTGTAGTTTAAAACACGACACTCACAAAACCAGCTGACAGCCCCCTTACTGGTCAGGTCACATTCTGCTGCCAATGAGATACGAAGAGAACTTTGTGGTTTTAGAGCTTTCTGAGCTTGGCATGTTCGGAAAGGGAAGGGATTATGGACCTGGACTGGAGGCCGCTTAGGGGATGGGGTTTGGAGAGTTCTGGAAAGTTCACAGTGGCGATACGGGGGAAAGCCAATAGAGCCAGCTTCTCGCAGGTTCTCCCATGACCCAGATCCCCTGTGGCCCTGGCTGGCACCAACTTTCAGACCACACCGCCTCCTGGCACCCGATTCCAGGGGCTGCTCCAGGGCGTGGTAAGCACAGCACCTGGGCGGTCCGTCCAGAATTCTCTGCGCGGACACCCAGAGACGGCCTCTACTCTAAGGCTGACTCCACCAGAGACGAGGACATGGGGGAGATGGCCCGGAGAACGAGAGAAAACATAGGCAGCCTGGGCCAGATGGAGGCCAGAAACCGTGAAGGTCCAGGCCAGCTCATCAGCCGCGCATGCTCGGAAGCGGGGCACCCGCGGCCCCGCCCCCCGGCTCCCGCCCTACCTCCACGGCCACGCTGAAGTCCACCATGGAGACGCTGGTGTTGCGGTGCCAGCACACGTGCACCATGGTGTTGCCGCGGTGCGGGGCCTGGCGCTCCAGCGAGGTGCGCGAGGCGCTGAGGTCGTCCTCCGACTCCTGGTCGCCCGCCGCCTCCTCGGGGGACTCTGCGGCAAGAGGCAGCACTGCCATCTCTGCGTGCCCGAAGAAGGGCCCGTTTCCCACCTGCTCCCCGGAGCCGAACGGGAAGTTGGGGAACCCCAGGTACCCACTGAGCAGGAAGTCACACTCACAGCCGAGGGCCTGGCCAGGGCCCCATGCCAGGGAGCCCCAAGAGCTTTCTCCCCCTGGACGCCAACACGTGGCAGTGCTGGCCCAGAAACCAGGATTCCCCCACTTTCTCATACTGTTTTAAGGCTTTTTAAAAAATAAACTTCTAAAAAATAACTTCCTTGATTTTTAGCTTGAAACACACACTTAGACTGCAGATCGGGGTGCACGGGGAAAAGTGATTTTCAATGCAGTGGGATCCCCTTCCACGGCCAGAGTGGTCCGCCTCCCCCTGGCCGATCCCTGGGCTTGTGCCAGTGTGTGGGCACTTACTGTTGTCGGGGGGGCTGCTGGCCAGGAACTCGGGGGCGGGGCCGCTGCTCTTCTCTGCCAAGTCAATGGCCATCTGTATGTCCTCCACCCACTTTTCCATCTCCGACCGAGAACTGAGGAGAGAGGATGGTCAGGTTTTCAGGGCACAGCAGGTGGGGTGTGGGGTACCGAAGTAGACAGTCCGGCTTCCTGAGTTACCTGGCAGCCACGATAATGGACTGGCGCTGGCCTCGCAGGGTGAGGCAGTGGGGCACGCCCCACTCGTCTTCACTTTCCTCGATCTGTGGGGCGAGTGTTCGTAACATTACTGCCAAGCAGGGAGCGGGACACTCAGTGTGTTTTCAAACGTTCACCCAACTGGTTACAGGTCGGAGGAGCCCCATTGGAGAATTCCCAATTGGAAGGGTGAAAGTAAGGTCAAAGCGCATTGAATTTTTTTGGCTGAGCCATAAACTTCCCTCTAGCTGACCACTGAGAGTGTGGGGATAATCCAGGCAAATAATCCCGTGCGCACTGGTGCCCCATCTGTCTCTGCCACCCAAGGGCTGCAGAAGACGGAGACCCGTCCACTGGACATGCTGGGAGGAGGACAGGCAGCTTCCTGGTCTTTACTGCACAGGAATGGTGAGGACGGCCCCTCAGGGCCCTGGGGCCAGGCCCCCGGCAGTGAGAGGCAAGTTCACACCACGTGGCCACGGCAGCTCGCCTGTTCACTAGATTGTAGAAGGAACATCGCCGTGTATCCCACATGCAGGAGGAGGGCTGAGGTCCCAGAGACCCTCCAGGGGCCCTAACAAGGCCCAGGTTTCTCCTGGTGCCTGTGACATTCTCATTTCCTTGTCAAGTCCCTCTTTTCCTTCCTCGTGTCATGGTCACTGGCTCTTGCTTCCTTTAGCCAGGTCTGTACCCTGCAGGCAGCCCGGAGGCACAGGCCCCAGTCCCGAGCCCAGGACGCATACTCACGGTCATGCCATAGAGTGGGAGCTGCCCGTGAACTTTAAACTGGTTTGAAGCCGTCAGCCCCCTGCTCGTGTACAGCAAGACGTCGTTGAACTGGAACAACAAGGACAAGTGCGGCTGAGATGAAAGGGCCCCGTTTGAAATGCACAAGTGCGGAAACTGCGCTTTCAAAATCCCACGTGAGACAGTCCGTGGATCTCAGCAACTCCAGCCTGAGCAGTTCTGGCTGCTCCTCCTGCCTCCCGGGTCCCCTCTCTGGGGTGGTGGAGGCCTAGCCCCATGCTCTGTGCTGGTTCCACAGCCCCAGTCACTGGTCGTGGTGACGACAAACAGCTCTCGCCACTTACCAGGAAGAACATGCGCTGCTGGAGACCCCTTCCCGGAGAGCTTGCTCAGGCTGCCCAGGCGGATGAACTCCTGCAGGGAAGAGAGACCCGTGAGCTGGCAGGGGGCCTGCAACCCCTAGGCCACGCGGAGACTCAGCTCTGTTTGGGATGCCTGCGCACACCATGGTCCCTTTCCCACTAAAAACCACAGCGACCATGGCTCCAGTTTACTGAATGCTGTGCCATGCACTCTCTAAGCTCGTGTCCTTCCCCGCCACCTGCAAGGCAGGGGCCACCTTCGGCTCCACCACCAGAGAGGAAGCTGGCGGTCAGAGGTCCAACGGCCCAGGCGGTGGGGCTGGGTTACACTCGGGCTTATGCTTAACCCTTAGGCCCTGTGCATTGCTGGCTGCGAGGAGGCGATAAGGACCCCCCAACAGATACAAAGTGGCAGCAGGGGATAGGGAGGACGGGCCCCAGGAGAGAACTGAACAGAAGAATTGTCTCCATGACTTATAATCTGGTTCTCAAAAACTAGTAGCTGTGTTCCAGAATTAAAGAACCAGAAGCAAATGTGTCTGAAGAGCTCTTCCTTCTGACTGTACACTCTTGAGGGCAAGGACCATTTGGGGGCACTTAAAAAGAAAAAACCACAAGACTATCATTTAAAAAATTGTGGCAAAATACATATAAAATTTAGACTGCATGACGTTCAGTGCGTTCCCAGTGCGCACTCATCCCTACCACCTAAGTGCAGAATTTGTCCTCATCCACAAGGAAATCCGTGCCCGTGAAGTGGTCACTCCCATTTCCCCTCCCCCAGCACCTGGCAGCCACCAATCTGTCTTACGTCTCTATGGATTTAGCTAGTCTGAGTATTTCAGAGAAGTCACACATGTAATACGTGGCCTCTTGTGACTGGCTTATTTCACTGAGCAGTCAGTTCATCCACACTGTAGTGTCTGTCAGAACGTCCTTCCTGCGGCTGAGCGGTCTGTGGCACGGGCAGACCACACTGTCCTCTCACCTGGTGATGGACACGGGTGTTGTCTCCCCTTCTGGCTCCTGTGCTGCTCTAGATGTTCATGTGCAAGTTTCTGTTTGACACCTATTTTCTGTTCTGGGTACAGAGTGGGATTGCTGGGTCATATGGAAGTTCTGTGGTTAACGTATAAAGGGACTGCCCAACTATGTTTCCCCAGGACTGCTTTTAAAACACAGCTGCAAGTTCTTTGACTGTCTTTCCATAGCGGCCAGTCTCTGTCCCCTTCCCTAGATGTAGGTGGACTGGTGACCGATTTGACTGAGTATGGAAGTGACGCTATGTGACCTTGACGACTAGGTCATAAAGCTACACGGAGCCTCTGCTTTGTCCCTGCGAACACGTGCTTGGGAACCCTGAGCTGCACGTAAGCAGCGAGACCCCCTTGAGTCCAGGCTCAGGAGGCCCCTCGTGTGCTCTCTCATACGTGGTCCCCAACGAGCCCAGCCTCCAGCTGACCCTCTGTCACTGCCACTTGGAGCAGAAGAATCCCCGGGCTGAGCCCTGCCCCATTCCTGACCCTCAAAACCATAACATACTCAAAGGTTGTTTTCAACCACTAAGACCGTGGGTAGTTTGTTATGTGCCGGTAGGTCCCTGAACACCTGCCACAGGTTCCCTGTGCCCATTGCAGCTCACGAGCCAAGAAGAGGGACTCATCCAGTTCATTTTGATTCTATAGACTTTCTGCACAGCCTGACTCAACTCTTCCTTTGGTCCTTTATGAAATGGCGATCAAAGACTATATCTGCTAGTGATTTAACTGACATATTTTGGAGTTCAGCAAAGTGATGGAAAACAAATACTCGCTGGTCCATGGGATGGATGCTAAACAGATAGTAACAATTTGGTGTGAAGAGATGGTGTCTAAGGGCCTGCTTTCATCAAAGTAGGGGATCTGGGACAAAGAGGGGTGACCTTAAGGTGCCGTCACTCCTGTTCCCAGCCCACACATCTGACGTTACACATGTGCTTTCTTAACGGATCTTAGGGATGTGGGATGGGGAGGACGGCTGGCATGAGTCACTCACTGCAAAAGGGCAGGTGGGCTCAGTCCGAGGGGCAGGGGCCTCCCCAGAAGGGCGATGGGTTTGGATCAATGCCTGAGGGTTGGAGACAGAAATGTCTCTTGCCCAGAATGATGTTTGTTTTTGTTTTGTTTTTTAAGAAAAACATGAAACAGAAAAAGAAAAGGCCCCTGATATCCTTAAGCTCAGGCTGCTTCCTTCTGGAAGGAAGTTCAGTGTCCAGGCCTCTGAGTTTTAATCAAGCGGACCCCAACTACCCTCGGGGAACAGGTCTCAGGCACAGAACTCCGAGGACGGAAGACCACAGCCTGGGGCCTGGCTCAGGCCAGGGTGTGCTGGGGCCTTCCGCCTGGCAGGGTGTGACTCAGTCTGCCCGCAGGGTAACCCTGAGGGCCATGGCATTACGGCTGGGAGCTAGGGTAGGAACTGGACTGCAGGGAGCTCTGACGTCATCTGCTAACCTTTCTGTCTCAATTTTTCAAATTCCACAAGGAGATAAATCTCTCAGAGCCGTCTTACCGCTCATCAGGTTATTCGATCATTTAAATGAAAGTGACTCAATTAGCTTCCGTGTGTGGTGCGCGGCATCTTAGAACTTGCCCCTCTGCGGGCCTCAGTCTCTCCTTCCCATTTCCTTCAGGGTTGACTTGAAACCGTGAAGGGCCATCAGGCGGGTTGACAAACAGAAGAATACAGAGATAAGGCGGGTCTGCAGTGCATAACCAGCACCCCAGTTTAACTTGAAATTGAACCCAGGGCCACCTACTCCAATCCACTGGTCTTTTCATAGCCCCATGGAAACTATGCCTCAGGGTAAGCAGTTCTTCACAAATGCTCTGTTTGCCACATGGCATAATATGCTAAATATTTTATAACATCCAAAGTTAAGGGAAAATTTCACTGATTCCACAAAGCTTGACTAAGGCCCCCATGTAGACGGGTCAGCGTGACTGTTACGGGCTGGGGCCTGGCAGAGTCTGCTCCCCGGCAGAGCTGAGGTAAATCCCAGCTTTAACTTCTACCCGGCACTGACCTTGTAACCCTTCTGACAAGCCTGGATAGCCGGTATTCTGGTCAGTTTGTAACTAGGCTTCCCAACAGAAACACCCAAATATCCAGAAGACGAGGGGCGTTCCTGCATCTTCCCTGAGTTACACAGGGTGAAAGTTTCCAGGGAGGCGACCTGTCAGCTACGACTAGAAGCCCCGGACAACTGGATGCTGGTCTGAAGACCAAGGAAGGTATGCGGCGGATCAAAGAGGCGGAAATTGCCTTCTGAACCAGGGTGAGGTGTCGTTCGAGAAGAGGCGCTACTGGAGAAAGAGCCCACAAAGAGATTTGATGAGACGCAGCAACCGACTCATATTTTTAGTTCCTGGGCAGTGACTGCTTCCTAGGGTGAGACCTGGAGAAAGGCAGGTTACCTTCGATTTTTAAAATGCCCATGGGGGTGGGAGAAGTATACAGCTCAGTGGTAGAGCACATGCTTAGCACACATGAGGTCCTGGGTTCAATCCCCAGGACCTCCATTAAAAAAAAACAACTACAAACAAAACCGTAAAATGCCTATTGGCCTGGAGGGAGCACATCTGGCAGCCAGGCTTCCTTCCTTAACTGTGAATCACCTACATGTCATGAAGGATGCCGGGGAGGTGAGGTCAGTAAGAAGTGGGTGTGCCTCTCCCAGAATCGTGTTCTGGCTAAAATGGTATTTTAATTACTAAGAGAAAGTTGCGTCTTTAAAAAATACTCTTCTTATTTACGTGGAAATTGACAGCCTGCTTTCACACACTCTGCTTTCTAGCACCATTTTACCCAATTCTGAAGAAAATGGTTTATCTTCCATTTTCATTTCCCTAAATTAAAAGTAAGCAGTCTCAAATCCCCTCAGAAAATGGTGAGGGAAAAAGTAAATAAGCAAGTCAGCCAAGAAGGAGAAAGAGCAGAATATGAGGCCAAAGGGTGGATTTACCTCCTAACACAAGATTTTTAAATTGACACTGAAATGTTCAAGGCATTTTCCCAGCTGTCCCTTAGGAAGGAGGCTATTTTAACTCGGGATGTCCACATTCAAAAGGTTCCCATTTAAGTCACTTCAGTGTTGCCTTTCTGGCTTTACCTCCAAAGCCTGCAGAGAGCATGGCCACTTACCCTTCCTGGAATCACAAGATTGTCAACGCCAATCAAATCTTTCTTGAGTTCATGCAGCTTCTGGAAGTTCTCCATCTTGATCATCGTACCATGAAGCTGTGCGGCCATTTCCGTGATCTCCGCCAAAGCAGCTACGGAAGGAAACACAGAAAGTTCAGCATTAACGGCAGAGAAGGGTCGCTTCCCCCATCGTCTTTGCGCTCAGTTCTGCAGGGTAAAGTCCTCCCACAGCTGAACTGTCAGAAACCATCCTCTTCCAGAGAAAATACTGCTGTTTCTCAGCAACACGAAGTGAGTGATTTACATTATGTATTGATTTGCTTTGCTTCAGTTTCCCCTAAACCATCCTGACAATGTTAACGCCCCCTGCCTGGCTCCGGGTGGACAGCCGTCCTTCAGTGAGAATCTCTCGTTGGTATCCAAGGGCAGCAGTAGAGGAATAGGAGTGCCTAGAGTTAGTTCCCAGGACAGAGATTTTTCTCTCCTCCCTGTTACCTGGGAAGAACAGAGCAGAGTGAGCACAGAAAGCAGCGAGACCACGGGAAAATCTAGGGCAAAGGAAGGGTCTTTCTGGCAAAAGGTCTGATAATGCAGCACCTTCGGGTAACGAACGTTCCAGCACACCCCAGTTCCTCCTTCTGCAGACATGGTTACCAAGACGGTTTAAAGAACAACTGCAAACTCAATTCTCCGCTGTGGGCACATCTCCCCCTACCCAGGGGCATCCAATATGGAAAAGGAGCTAGTGCCCAGCTGGTGCAAGTTTGGGTGGCACGCCAATCCACAGTAGCTGAGCATTTTGGTCAGCTTGTCAAGGGAAAGCAAGAAACGTCTGTCCATGGACCTGCGATCTTCAGGACCCTGAACACCCCCTCCCCCCGCACCTCCAGCCTGGCTGGGAGACACTCCTTTCTCCTGCTTCTCCTGAGGGTGCAAATGGAATGCCTCCAGCTGCTTATCACAGAGTGCTCCTCGTCTCAGCCAGAGTGACAAACCCAGAGCGTGCTCTGTCTTCAGACATGATCAGCTGACTTAGTCCAGTCAACAGTTTGGCAGGCAGGGAGGGTCACCAAGCCTGGAGGTTTAGGCACAGACAGAGCCTTAAAGGAGGAGGAGGACTGCACCGGGGAAAGGACCAGGAGCTGGTGGCCAGGAGTCCAAGCAGAAGGAACAGAATATGCTGAGACACAAGGCAGCAGGGTTTGTTTTAAAGACTGCCGTCTAAAGCAAACCAAAATCCCGTCACGAGGCATTTCTGTTCTCCTTCCATAACTGCCAACGTCTCAGTTATCTTGCCAAATCTTCTAGGTGGTCTTTCTAAAAACAAAGATTAAGTGTACGGTACTTTAGGCAAGAGGCAGGCCTTGACATACTAACAGGTGTGCGATTTCATGTAATCTGTCGAGCCACCTGCGGAGGGCGCACTCTGCGCACAGACGAGCTGGAGAGTGTAGGGGCCCCAGCAACAGGCCTCAAGCCTGGCCTTCGAGGGACCTGCAGTCCAGGCCAGGGAGCTCAAACATCAGAAGACCATATACAACACAAGACTGATGACACAGGTCAGAAAGACAACACGAGGTACGGTGGGGAAAGCATAGTCTGGAATGCCAGCTCTGATCTTTTGCCAACACTCCCAAGCCCTTTACCCACTCTGAGCCTCAGTTTTCTTATCTGTAAAATGGGCTAACAACACTCATGGGGTTGTTAAAGGAGTAAAAAAGCATTTATGTAAGTAAGATGCCTGGCAGAGTACCTGGCCCAGGTGCTGAGCGAGGGACAGAGGATAATAATATCAGGAGCCAGGAGGATAAGGATTGTCAAGAACACTGGTTCATGTTACAAGTCAATTACTTTCCCGCTGTGTGACTCTGGGCAGATTCCTTAACCTCTCTGGTTTCAACAGCCCCCATACGTAAAATGAGCTCACCCCTGTCTTGTCGGCTTCTGGTGAAGATTGAGAGCTAATACAGGTGAAGTGCTTGTGGTGGCGACCTTACAAACGCCCCACAGCAATGAGCGGTAGTATTTGTTACAAATCATTTTCCAAGGCCTGTCCAAGGGGGGAGTGATGAGGTTCCACCGTGTAGGTAGAGGAAAGCTTCCTGGAGGGGGCTGACTCTAAGTGGAGCTTCTCCAGGGTTCTTGGCCCTAAACCATTCAGGATGGAAGGAGAAAATGCATGCGAGAGGGGATGGAAAAGAGAATGATCATCATGATCATCACTGCTTTCTTTATGGGGACGGCCAAGAGAAAACAGAAACTACTGGACCAGGTCTTAAAAAGTATCGGCCCCGGGTCATTATGGAACCCGGGGACACAGTATCCCCGCGCCGCCCCGAAGGACGCTCACCGCGGCAGTCCCGGAAGTCGGCGTGGCTGGGCGGGTGGTGCTTGCACAGCCGCTCCAGGACCTGCTTGTAGTGCATGAGCCGGTGCAGCGGGCGCAGGAGGAAGGTGTTGAGCGGCAGGTAGCACACCTTCTGCAGCTCGAAGTCTCTGCACAAGCTCTCCAGCCGCCGGGAGCCCCTGATGCTGGTCTCCAGCGCCTCCAAAGCTTCGCTGTGCTTCCACAGATGAGCTGCCAGTTGCTGGTGGGCAGAAGACAGGGGAGGGGGCGAGGAGGAGGAGAGTCCCACTCAGCCACGTGGTCCACCCAGCGTGACTCTCAGAAGTAAAGCTCCCCTTTGCATTCATTACTTCATCCCATTTATTTAATTTGAAGTTTAATATTTCACAAATTAAATTCTCAGGACGAAATCAAAAGCTCTTAATGCACTGAGCAGTTTAAAATAACGCAGGGATTGTAAGATACTAGAGATGTATGCATAACATTAGACATGTGAGTGTTCTTTTAAAAAGGAGGCTGGCAAAACTGAGGGGAAACAAACGAATGGGAGCTCCTTCAGGGGGCTTGGGGTTTTCTCCTAAATGTCAAAAAGTGACAAATTAGGCCAGGGCCACTCAATAAACATCACATAGTTAAAAAGTACATATTTCTGCTCAACTCCCCCACTCTGCTCATATAATGACCGAGCATTTGCCATGAACCACCTGCAGGACTCCGGGGAGCGGACGGGACGAAGACTCCGTCCATCTCTACCGGGCTCTGACCAAGGTCCTCTGCTTGAGCAAACTTCCACCAGGCTCCTGAACTTTCTCCCAGACCCATCTGTGCACTTCCCCATACAACCCAGTTTTAGTGAGAACCCTGCCAAGTCACTTTACCAGCACCTCCCACCCTGGATATCTGTTTACTCTCGACATTGGGGTCTGCAGCCCCAACCACCCCCAAGGGATGTCTGAGCACCCGGCTTGTCTTCAGCAAAGAATCCTGCTAAGTTGGCTCAGCCGGAATCCCCCTTCACCTGTGACGTCCCCTCACAGTAATTTTCCATCCTCCGGCCCCGCCCTGTCCTTGGCTGTAGATTCCCACTGGCCGCGGCTGCACTTGGAGTTGAGCCCAGTCTCTCCCCCACTGTAAAATGCCCTGTGGCGTCCCCACACCTACTGTGATGGTCCTGAATGAAGTGTGCTCTGCCACCTGTAACAAGTGTTGTTACAGATCTTTTTCCTTTAACGGGGTGGTGGAGACAGATGCGGGGTAAGAAGTTTGGTGACAGAGCATTCAAGAAGGAATTCCTCCCTCACAACAGCTGTGGTCCTCAAGTCTTCCATCGTCACATCCCAGAAGTGGGCTCACTGCGTGCAGCCGACTCCCTTGTCTGGACTCCTAAGTCCAGCATCTCTACCCCCAGGCTCATAAAGAGCTGGAAACGCAGTGAGGCCAGACACCAAGCCGACACTCCCTGCTCAACTGCGGCTGCCTGTGACTCACTAACCCCAGGCTGGTGCCGCCACCAGCCCGCTCCTCAGGACAGGAAGACCTGGAGACGACTCCAGATGCCCTCATTTTTTAAATCCTTCACCAAGTCCTACCAGTTTGACCTCCTAAAAACAGCAAGCCCGCTCCTGTTTTCACCCCATGGTCACTGCCCTCGTTTCGGCCACTGAAGTGGTGTCTGAATCAGGGTCTCTGCCTGCACACCTGACCCCTGACTTTGACGTCTGTCAGAACTTCCATCAATTGCAGTTGAGAATGTCACCTCTTGCTTGGACTGGGACAAGAACTCCCACCATGTCAGGACAACCTGCAGGGTCTCAGGGCACACGGAGCCCTCATCGTGTAAATCCTCCGCCCTCCATCATCACCTCTTACCACTCAGCCGGGCCACCTGCTGAACCACCTGCACTTGAATGTGCCAGGCCCTCGTGCCCAGAGCCTCCGCACACGAGACCCCCGTTCCGAGACACCCCCTAAGCCCCGGCCCACGTTCAGGGTCAGCTCTAGCCCTTCCCTGAACTTGGTGCCTCCTCTTCCTCCTGTACTTCCGCTGCATTTGTCCATCTTAACCCTTATCACATGGTCTCCCTGTCGAGTTTCTTTTGTGACCTATTTTTTGAAATATGGTTTCATAGAAAGTTGCAAAGACAGGTAGACGGGGTTCTAGGCACCCTTCACTCGGCCTCCCCTAATGCTCACATCTTGTCTAACAGCCCAACATCACAGCCAGGGAACTGACACTGGGACAATCCAGAGTTTATTTGGATTCCGCCACTCATACATGCCCTCGCTTGTGTGTGTGTGTGCATGTGCGTGTGTGTGTGTAAGTGTGTGTAAGTGTGTGTGTGTAAAGTGTGTGTGTGCATGTGTTAGCTCTGTGCATGTTTTTACACGTGCAGTCTGTCCTGTCCTACATCCTCAGGGCCTGAAACACACAGTAGGTCTCCACAGATGTCTGCTGGCTGCACGTGTTAAATGAACAAATGAACCAACGCCTGCTCCCCACCGAGGCAGGGGTCTTGTCAAGCCCTGAGTGCCTGGAGAGGTGAGTTCAAGGCTGTCAGAACACAGAGTAGAATGTGAACGGTGGGGGTGGTAAGGGCTCTGGAAAGATCGTCTAGGGAAGGCTTTCTTTGTCAGGTTTAGCGTTTGGACTGTATTCTCTAAACCACATAGAGACAAGGACAGTTTTGAGCCTAGTCAGTCTGGCTGTGATATAAATGGTGGATGATGTGTGGTTGGGAGGCAGCTGGGTGAGTCATCGTGGACAGAGAGAACTGAGACCTAGAGGGAATAAAGTGGTAGGAGTTTAAGAAGGAGAAGGGGCAGGACCTGGAGGCTTCAGGAGACAGGGCCCAGGAGTGAGGGTCACAGCCTGGACGGCCGGTGAAGGGTCAAGACGAAAGGCAACGGTACCCTTTGCTTGTGCGGAGTCTGGAATGCCTTTGGGCATCTGGGCAGATGTTTCCAGTTGGAAGTTCACAGCCCAGGCTAGCGATCACGAGCAGGGTATCTCTGACTTTTAGGCAGGGTTTGGAGCCCCTGGCCTGGCTCCCTCAGTCCTGTGTGGAGGGTCTGGGAACAGCCGCAGGGGAATGTCAGCATCCTTGCTGAGCCCTGCGCGCCGGTCAGTGCATGGTTCAGACGGGGAGACACTGCAAGCTGGATTTCACCCTAAGCATCTTGGATGAAAGTACTAACCAGGGCTTCTGCATCTCTAGAACCTCCTGCTGCGCCCCTCCACACTTTACAAAAATTATTTAAAACTAATGATAACAACCACAATTAAAAAACAAACAAAACACGTTTCTCCAAAAGGCTGCCAGAGACTCTGAGCCTCTCCATCTGTTTTTATGCTGCTTGCCCAGAGCTCCACGCTGTAAATGCTCGTGGCATCGGCACAGTAACCAAGACACCAGCCCAGCCGAAGCAGCCGGCTACATGCAAAAATGCCAGCTCGCTGGACGAGAGGAAGACTCGCCAGGGGTGGACATCAGGTGTATTCTAGGAGGTCCTGGGTGCTCGGGGAACAGGAGGGAGGATGCCCACTGCACGTCAGGCCTCTGTGGGAGGGACACGAGAGCTGGGAGACAGGACAATCTCAGGCTGTCCCTGAGGAGATAGGGAGCAAGCTGGCAGGTCTCCGCCACTGTCCCCCGAGGCCTGTGATGGCGCCCGCCCTGGTAATCTCAGGTGCAGGGAGCACCATCAAAAAAGGTAAAACAAAACTGGGTCAAGAAAAGGGGCACCACGTGGGAAAAGAGGCTTCCTACGAGGAAAGTAACCGGGAAGAACACCAGTCACAGACACATGTTAGAGAAGAGAGAGAAGACGCTTTTAGCAAGTGACAGAAGCCAGTCTGAAGGGGGCTACACGGTGTGATTTCAACTGTATGACGTTCTGTAAAAAATGGCGGAGACAGTGAAAGATGAGTGGTTACCAGGGGCTGGGGGAGGGGAGGGATGAATGTGTGGAGAGCAGGATGTTTTAGGGCAGTGACATCACCCTGTGTGATTGCCGTCACGGTGGGTCCAGGACATCATGCCCTTGGCAAAGCCCACAGAACGCAGGACATCAGGGGTGAGCCCTACTGCACCCTGTGGCTTTAGTTAATAACAATAACGTAGCGATACTGGTTCATCAGTTGTAACAAACCAACCACAGCAATGCAGGATGTCACTAACAGGAGACGGACAAGTGGCGGGGTGCCAAGAATATGGGAACTCAGTGTGAGCTTTCTGCCCAATTTTTCTGGAAACCTAAAATGGCTCTAAAAATAAGATACATTAATAGGAAACACTAAGGAAAGTGAAAAGATGTCGGTTACCGTTACGTGTGAGTTTTGTAATCCACCTTACTTATGGCATTAAAAATACTGCAGTTGCGGAACACTGGAGATAACTCTTTGCTGCTGCTTTTTTTTTCTTTTTTTCTTTTTTTTGCATAGGATTCTGCCATCCTGATGGCTTTTGGGGACTCTCTCTGATATCCCCCGAAGAGGGGGCTGTTGCTTTCTGAACACCGTGAAAAAGTGAGCAGTAGGCTCAGGGTCTGTTAAATAATAACCTTGAACTTCATTGAGAGAAACAGGAAATCCCTTGACTAGCTTCAGATCCTATGTCTTCTGTGTCCCCTGCCCCCTGCTCTGCCCCGACTGTCCTCTCTCATGAGATACATCATTCTAAGGGGAACAAATTCAACACCAGTTAGACTCTTGGGAATTAATTCAAACCTCAACAATAACTTTTACTCTACGGGTACCTTAGACGTTCTAGGTGCTCAGCCAGTGCTGCGTGGATGGACTGATGGCTGGGTGGACTGAAATGGTGGCATGCAAGTGACCTGCCTTCTTTAGGGGGTTACAAGGTTGTTCTTAGTTATTAGTTAAGGTTATTAGGCAGGCTCTGGGCAGGAAGATTGCTTTAAAATGCAAATACAGGCTGTCTTCATATTCAAAAGACAGATTGTGTGAATCAAGATAGTACATATTAAAGGAATTATTTATGGATTAAAATGAAAATGCAGAAATGAACATTTCAGATGGAAGAGCTGGGGCAGATTTCAAACATGAGGTGGAATCCTGAGCTCTCTGCGAGGACTTTCACTCTCCTGTACCGTTGTCAATACTGCTGGATGGTTAAAAATACACTTACCTGATAAGCTGGCTTCAAGTCACAGAACTGACTGGAATTCCTACATAGCCCTGAATCCAACATTTTTTCACACTCACAAGAAGCCAAAAGAACGGACTGAAAGTGAAATGTTCAGGCAACCTATGTTTTGCCTACGTAATTTTTCAAGAGTGTTGAACAACTCAGACACAGAAAGTACCTGTTGTTTTGGTTACAACAGGGAGCTTGCGAAGAGGAAAATACTGACGGTGCTTATGCGGGGTGACTGGATTTTCCTTGATGCTGCCAAATAAAGTTATCTGGACGGGGCAGAGAGCATCCCCAGGGGCGTGCTGCATGCAGACTGCCAAATCAGGTGTTCGTGGGAGGGGGACCGCGGCCACGGCCTCGGGCAGCCCCAGCGGCATGTCCCCCGGGGGACCCCCACCCCCCAAGCCCCCGAGCAGCCCACCTTCATGTCCTGAATGTTCTTCAGCATGACGTCCCCGATTCTTTGGTAATCCCCTCTGAGGTGGGCATTCGAGCGGCCTTCCCTGAGAGCAGAGGGTTGGAGAGCAGAGCCTTAGCAGTGAACACACCACCGGATGGCGTTCCCGCCCCCGATGACAAGGTATCAGCGTTGATGCCTGCCTTTCCAACCACATTTAGACACCCCTCTGCGTGTCACAGAATGTCAGCACCAGAAGGAGACTCTGAAGTGACCCCACTCCTTCTGCAAAGAATTCGGCTTTGAAAGACATTTTAAATTGGTCTCGTTTTACTTTTTTTTTTCCTTTCCATCCACATTTGGGTGATTTTCTCAGTGTTAGAACAGCGTGGAGATGACTTGCAGGAACAAGCTCCTGAAACTGATTCCATCTTACAGATCGGAACCAACAGACATTTTAAGAAGCAAGACTGAGCCTCAAAATCAAGGTGTCTGCTCCCAAGAGCCCTTAGTCTGAAGCGGACAAAGGGCTGTGTGAAGAGCCCCTGGGAAGAGAAAAATCCAACTGAGAAAGTACAAGAAACTCAGGCACAGAGAGGGGCGTGGGGAGAATGACCCGGAAGAAAGCGGGATGGGTGTCCCAGGTACGGAGATGGGTCGGGGTCCCCTAGACAAGGTGGGGGGAGGTGACCAAGATGGGGGCACTTTCAGCCGAGTACTTGGGTTTATATTCCTATTCCTTCTGGCTCCTGGTTACATCAGATGCTGATAATCCGGGACTTAGACAGCAGTGAGAAAAATAATAGGATACTGGTAGCCAGCAGTGGCTGAGTGCTGACCACAGTGCTGAGCGCACGGCAGGCATCACCTCACTCGATCCTCGTGGCAGCCTTACGAGCAGGTACCACCATCACTCCCATGCTCACGACTGAGGCACCAAGAAACTAAGCAGCTTGTCTCATGTCAGTGATCATGAGGCAGTGAGCCCAGGAGCCAGGTCTACACTCCTCTCACTTGGATACCTGTGCATATCTGCAAATCTACCTGCTGATGAGAAAAGAATTTCCCAGTGACGATTATAACACGATTTGCAACAATGAACCTGGCTACTGTCTTCAAACCAACCATTCAGGATAGTTAGAATTCTGCCAACTTAAAGGGAAAGGAATGAACTGGGGGGAAAAAAAAGGTAAAAATCTGGGCACAAGGCTCCCCGTCAGAGGTGAGGGGCGCTCAGAGTGGAATAAAACCCGAGGCCCCAGGGGGATGGGGCAGTGACAGACACTCCACAGATGCCCCACTCCAACACCTCCAGCACCGGGAGAAGTGACTCCCCTCTCGGCATTCGGAGCCTTCCACAACTCCTGGCTCCATCTCTGATTCATCAGGGATCCCAGAATGGGGAGAAGAGGGCAGAGAGACATGTACGAACTTGATGAAACACATCAGGGGGTAGAAAAGTCAAGGGTGGGACAGACAGAAATGGGGTGGGGGAGCGGGAGGAGGCCGGCTCCTCACCTAGCCCCTGGCCGCCCCCACCAGGCAGCACGAACACCGCATATTCCACTAGCTCAGTTCTAACTGGGCATACATTGTGAATTACATCACAGGGGAGATGAGCACCCAGACCCATTAGGTAATTCAAGCTTCTCGAAAATAAAAGGAGCCGGGGTACCCATTACGCTCCCAGCCCTGCCGGGTCTTCAGCAGCTCCCCTGGGGCTGTCTTTCTTTACCTATTCTGTTCTCTCCCACCGACACAGTCCCTCAACTCCTCTGCTTCCTCTTAGCGGCCAAAATAGACGTGTTGGATGATGGTAATAATTACTACTTGCTTCTCTCCTAAGTTTTCACTTCTTCCTAAGCAACCCCTTCTACTCTCTGTGGTTTTGATTCACGATGCCAAATCTGTACCCCAGTGTTCTGTGTAGCTACCGACTCAGGCACCGCAGTTCATACCTTCCTGAAGGAACTGCTCAAGTGACCCCACAGGTATGTCAAACTCAAGATGTTCCGCGCAGAATTAGTTTTCTTGCTGCCAAAACCCAGTCTTCTTCCTCCATTTCCTTCACCGTTCGGCCTCAGTCTCAGGCTAGAAGCGTCTGTTACCCTCACTTGTCTGTCTCTCTTATCCATCAGATCCCGTTCTCCCCCCAAATGAGGTCACCGGAGAATGCTCAGGCATCTGCCTTGGACCAGGCTCTCCTCTGAGACAGTCCTCAGCCCTCTGCTAACAATCATGTGTTATTCCAGCCTGTCAGCTACAGGGTTGTGGCATCTCTGGATTTTTGGCAAATGATTATTAATGAAGTCACAATGGAGACGTTTATCATTTGGCCATTCTGTTGCTCCTGTGTGCGTCTGGGTGTAGACCTAAACTTACTGGTTGTTCTTCACCTTACACTTGGGACAAAAAGGAGCTTCAGCCCGAAACAGAGGTTTTCTGCTATTCAGAACCACCCTCCACCCCGCCTCACCTTCAGCATCACAGGAAGCTCTTAGGGGTTGGGAAGTTCTCCTTCCCTTTTCCCCACGTCTGAACAACAAAGGAGGACCCAACTGCTGAGGCAGAAGGGCCTGAGGTTGACTACATGCCACACATCAATAAACAGAGGCAAGACACAATTTACAGTTGATTTCTGGGAAGGCAGCTATTATCTGGAACTTAAATCAGTGACCTCCAAACCTTCAAATGGGCATGCCACTTGAGAAAGGTCTAGTTAATCTAAAGGATGTAGTTTAGACATTTTAGCGAGAATCTTCTGGACTGAGTGGGCAAGGGGAGAAACAGGGGTCTCCGCTTCCATTAATAACGAGCAGCCTTTCCCCTCTCACGGAGCGCGCCCCCACCCAAGGGAAATGAAAAGCAGGAACGCAGACTGGGAGGAGGGGTGGGGAGCGGCAGAGGGGACCAAACTTCATTGACTTCACTTCCTTTCATCTTTCGCCAACTATTTACTAGAAGAAAATGTACTGATGTTAAAACCCCAGACGCGAGGGGCCCTTCTCTCCTGCACTGGCTCGCTAGCAGAACCTTATTGTTTCTCGCAGTCTTTAGCATCTTCACTTTCATTTTAGAAACTGCTCTGGGGCAGTACTGCCAGTCCCCTGTGTGCAGGGAAGACACTGATGTCAATCCATTCAAGGGAGCAGCTCTAGGTGATGCAGTGAAACCAGGCTGGGGCCCTGGGAGTTCGTGCAGCCAGTACTGGCAGGTCTGTCCCCTCCCCACCGAGACAGGGCACGTGCCGCCCTGCTTGGTTCCAGAATATGGACTCAGCGCATGGGAAAGGGGACAAGACCCAGTGCTCTCACTGCCCTGTATAGACTTACTGTCGTGTTTATACTTCCTAGACGTTAATGCCAGCAAACCCACGAGTCTAAAGCATTTGCTTTATTGTAAAGAGCTAAAAGGTCACTTTATTGTGGGGAACATGAAAAAGTAATTATAACTCTTCCGGAACAGCCTCCGGACGTTAACCTCACAAGAAAAGGGTCCTTGTTTGGAAGATAGGGCCACATACTTGTTGTCTGTGTAATTACCGCAAGGCCACACAGCTGAAAATTCTCTTGACAGTTTTACTTTGGACCCATGTACCAAAGCAGCCTCCCAGATGCTAAATTCTGACCCTTGCACCATGATTAATGTGCTTCCAGGAGCAGCTACATGTTATCTCAGCACAGGTTTAAACACACACACACAATCTGAGTCTTCCAGACCCTCTGCAAACACTTCATTCACCACTCCGTGAGCTGGTCAGCAACTCAGTAGCAGAAAGACCGAGGTTCAGGCTTCCCCTTCTCACAATGAAGTGAAGACTCATCTCCTCAGATTAAAACCCAGAGGTGAGCCGAGCAGCTCAGAGCTAGAGGGCTGACTTTTTTAACCTGGCTTTGTGTTGGGGCACTCTCTGACCCTGGGAAAATAGATTAAACTGTGAAGTCTCATTTTTAGGCCTCATTTGCAAAACAAACATCATACCCTAATTCTTACTATTCCTTGTGGATCCTGTGACTCTAAATGTGTGTTTGGGTAGCTATGTAAATAAAAGAATAGCACATAAATGAGCAAATGAATCAAGACAAATTTTCCATTAATATGTAGGGTGGGAAGGGTGGCTGGGTTCAAAAAGCAAACAAATTAGCCACAGTAATAGATTAGATTAATATATATATTAGCTGCGTGTAATATATGTGGATCTCAATATTCTTTGATGAATTTCAACATCCTCTGAAATCCCTGGAGAGGAAAATTGCATTCATTTGAACATTAATTCACATCCTCACTTGTGAGGAAGGCGTTTGTGCCTGAGGCGTCCTCCCTGGGCCGGGATGCACGGGTTTCTCTCCTGCAGGGGTGGGGAAGGGATCCATCCTGCCCCTCAGCGCCAGGGACAGGACAGCCTCTGATCTCAGCGTCTCACCTCTATCAATTACACTACTGGGCTGCTTACAGCTACAACTTTTGTTCTTCTGAGGTTTAACACCAGGTCTAGTCTAACAAGAGGTGCAGAAGTGACAGCCCGCTCCCGGTCAGCCTTGGTAGCATCCAGATGAGAGGCGGGTTCAGTGCTGTTAATGGGCCATGTATTAAAAAGCAGCAGAACAGAAGGGCCATTTCCAATTCATCCGTGGCCTGGAGAGTGTGCTCTCTCAAGTGCTTTCCAGCAGAAACCCACCTGCAACTCAGGCCACTGGAAAAGTCATTTTCATTTTCCTAAAATAAAAGTAACTTGCTCTTAAAGCACAGGGGGTTATACAGTCAGGAATAAGGCAGATAACGTGAGAAAAACAGCTCCCGAATACGCGTGAGAACACGCGCTGTTACTCATGTTAAAATGAAGCAGTCACCAACAGCCGCTGCCCCTGGAACCCTAGGTGGACAGTGCACAGCCGAGCAGCGGCAGAATACAGTCAGGAGACCACGGTGTCCTTGACACGTCTCTCTTGCCTTTGAAACAAACATGAAATTTTAAATAAGTTTATATTAAAAAAAAGTACATGTACAAACAGTTCCCCCTCAGGGTTTACCCGTGATCTGTATCTTGCCGTGGCTTCCTGCCATCCTGCCTCCGCTGTGTACTTTTCCAAGCTGGTTTTGCACTGC